TATTTCGTCACTGTCTGCGTCGCGAATTTCCAGCCGTCCATCTCGGTAGGGGCGCTCGTCGTCGTGAGTCCAACGGCGTGGTGTCGGACCACTCCACCGCTGATTAAACGTGGCGGCCAGCGGCCGGCGGTGCCCATTGTCCCCGGACACGGCCGACCAGTGCGTGGCCACACAGCTCCCAGCCGGCTCGTCGGGCGGGCTGGGCGGCACGGTCCGCGGCCGCCGGCCGGTCGGACAGGCGCCGGCGGCCGGATTGGATGGCCGACGGGCACCGGCCACTGCCGCCCGGGCCGCGGCGGGGTCATCGGGGCTCGGCCCGGCCGGCCTCAGCCGTCTGCTGGTCGGCGGTATGGGCGGAGGCCGCTCCGACCCCGATGTCTGCTCCCCTTTAGTCTCGGCGACAGGTGGTTTCAGGTCTGGCCCGGACGTCTTCTTCTCTTCAGTGTGGGTGACAGGTAGTTTCAGGTCTGACCAGGACTTCTGCTCCTCTCTGGCATCGGCGACAGGTGGTTTCAGGTCTGGCTCGGACGTCTGCTCCTCCAGTATTGGCGGCAGGTGGTTTCAGGTTTGACCCGAACGTGTGCTCCTATTGAATATGGGCGGCTGGTGGTTTCAAGTCGACCCGGACGTCTGCTCCTCTCCAGTATGGGCGGCTGGTGGTTTCAGTCCTGACCCGGACGTCTGCTCCTCTCCAGTATGGGCGGCAGGTGGTTTCAGTCCTGACCCGGACGTCTGCTCCTCTCCAGTATGGGCGGCAGGTGGTTTCAGTCCTGACCCGGACGTCTGCTCCTCTCCAGTATGGGCGGCTGGTGGTTTTAGGTCTGACCCGGACGTCTGCTTTTTCAGCGTGGGCGGCAGGTGTTTACTAGTGACGTTAGTTGATATTACGCAGGTGATATTAGTCGGTGTCATTGAATGTCCACATTTTAACTCGGCAGTAATGTTTGCCACGGGTAAGAAAAACCGCTTAATTGTTTTTTCCGCAGTTGAAGCACGGTCCATCTCGAGCGTTCCAGTGTAACAAATACGCAACTTTAGCCTTACGCCACTGTTCAGTTTAAGATAAATTTCTTTGGGTGGTATGGTGAAGAATCTGAAGCATGTTTGATGTTTGTCGTGAAAATCAATCCCGATACATGTGTACACTATTGCCACATGTCCAATACATGACGCATGCAGTTTCCAGGTCATCAGGAGCTGCCTCTGTGCTGGCGCTGCGCCAAATGATATTTATACTCACAGTGCTTGGGATCAATGTTTTTTAAAAGATCGTAGATTTCCATTTCGGACCTTACATCTTATACACATGCCCTACATCTTGGCTCTATATCTTGTACACGACTAGTAAAGATGAAGCCTTGCAGAAAACCTAGTGGATTGGTCTCAAAGATGTATCGTGATTGGTAGAAGGTTTTATCAATAACAGGCCGCACTACGCATGGTAAACCGTCAGTTTTCCCTGCAATCAACCTGTGTTTTCTTTAGACGTGTCAATGGTTCGAGTCTTGTCGCGTAGCAATATAAAGCTTACACAGGCGTGTTTTCTGTTTGATTCTGAGTACAATCGTACCTGCGCGGATGTGTTACCTATTTTATTTTGAGCACACTGTGATGTAGTTTTGTCCATTTTGAGCACGCAGTTGTGATGTAAGAGTCCTCATGTGACCCGCCGGGTACAAGCCGTGGATTCCTCGGTTGTCTCCCGCTGCCCACGCCAGCCGAGGATCGCCGCGCATTGTTTTCTAAAAAGATGCCGCTACTGGAACAAACAAACATGCTAGGTACAAAGCTTTGGTGTCAGAACACGCGCAATGCACTCCCTAGAGAACACTGAAAATTTGGACGTGATTATACGACAGGCCGGAGCGGTGTTCTCAGAAAACCTGTGGGAGGGGTTCGCTTGCCCCCCCCCCCCCCCCCATCAAGGCGAGGTTTAAGCTGGGCATAGAATACCACGTCATACAACACCACGGCAAAGGACGTCTCAATACACGTCCGACGACAGACTGCCGGTCTTCTCCCACCTCCTGGCTGTCTTGATGAAAGTGGCGCCGCAGTAAAACAAACAGGCAATCGAGAGGCAACCCGTCAACGGTATCACCGCATGAGGCCAGATAGCGTTAGGTTGAAATGTAGGCAGCTCCGTGTTAATCGGGGCCGACTATCCGAATGAGGCCAGCCAGCGTTAGATTGAAATGTAGGCCACTCCGTGTTAATCAGGACCTACTATCCGAATGAAGCCAGCCAGCGTTAGATTGAAAGGTAGTCAACTCCGTGTTGACCGGGCCCGACTATCCGAATGAGGCCAGCCAGCGTTAGATTGAAAGGTAGTCAACTCCGTGTTGACCGGGCCCGACTATCCGAATGAGGCCAGCCAGCGTTAGATTGAAAGGTAGTCAACTCCGTGTTGACCGGGCCCGACTATTCGAATGAGGCCAGCCAGCGTTGGATTGAAAGGTAGTCAACTCCGTGTTGACGGGGCCCGACTATCGAAATGAGGCCAGCCAGCGTTATATTGAAAGGTAGTCAACTCCGTGTTGACCGGGCCCGACTATCGGAATGAGGCCAGCCAGCGTTATATTGAAAGGTAGTCAACTCCGTGTTGACCGGGCCCGACTATTCGAATGAGGCCAGCCAGCGTTAGATTGAAATGTAGGCAACTCTGTATTGATTGGTTCCAGCTGTTCGTATGTCTTCCTCTGTGCGACTGGCAGCTGATGACGTTCCACTGAGGTCTGATGTCGATGTCGATGTATGGCGCGGCAGATGTCAGCAACCGTGCCTCAAATCAAAACGTCCAATCTTTACATGTCATTTTATAGGGAGCTTTTGCCGGCAATTGCATTGGAGCTGAACGTTGTCAGTCGAGAAGAGCTGGGGCGCCAGTTCCTGTGCGCCTCTGAAGCATAGACGACGCCGTTGAGCTCAGGGTGTCAGGTTACTCCCGAAAGTTCGGAAATTAAACGTTGCCTACATGTCGACGGGAATGAAATGAATATAAAGTAGAAATTTTATTTCTTATATATATATATATAGAAATAAAAATAAGCTAATAAAATCTGCTTTTCTCTGCTGGCGAGCGTGGTGCTGCTTGCTCAAAACTCGTTAGAGGCAGCTTGCTTGATCGAATAGGGGTGTGTTGCAGGGCTCTGAGGACACCCGGGTGCCGACGTTTTGAATCGGCCCCCTGGGGTCAATTGGAGGCCGAGCTGTAGTTTGCATGGCTCCCCCGCCGCCCCTCCAAGTGTAACGTATCGCTCGGGCAGCGCTTGGATTGTGAACTGTACCACTGACGGCGTGGAGATGTTTAATGGTTTAAAAACAACTCAGAGAAGACGATAGGGCCTGACGTGCCATGACATGTAAGCATGCACCAAGACATGCTTTAGCACGTGATGGATGCATCTGACCCGAGAGTGGTGAGGCTGGCGTGTGCGATCGTCGTGAGCTGTCCTGGACGGTGTTTTTGACCAATGCTGTCATTGTTCCCCGCACTTGCGCACTGTGGTGGTTGCGTGTTCCGTCTTCTGCCTTAGTTTCTTACCCTGCCACCTATCTTACCCTCTTACTTGTATGCAGCGGTCTGTGCCATCTTAGAACCGACGGGAAGGGAAAGCTCTCTTGCTGTCTCCGGGCATGATGGCGGCGCGGGGACCAATAAAATGTTTATGATAGTTGATGCATTTCAGAACAATTTGGGTTGGCGTTTGTCATGATGTCAAGGTCATATTAAGCCATAGGTCAATTTGTCTCCAATTTGTATGCGGTCGAATCACACTACCTGTGTAGTTCTAATCTGTCAACAGCTCCACAGTTTGGTGAGCCGCAGTGCTTTGTTTGACTCATAATATGCTGCTGTCGTTTGACCTGATCAGCCATTTCTCGAGCCGGTGTTAAAAGGTCACCCGCCGAGGGAAAACGGCACTAGCAAGCTTATAAAGGCATACAATTGTCACATCACGCAACTGCAAAGAGTTTTTCTTTGCCAAAAGCTAGAAGTGAGAGTGTACTTAGGTCGGTTACCTATAATGACAATCGATTGCCTTTCTGAGATCAGGTAGTAACAGGGTTATGTGACACACGGCCAGCGCATGCCACAGTCAGTGGCATTTTTATGTGACATGGCTTGGCTGAACCGCTTGTGGATCAGTTACGTGACGCGGTGTAGTTTTGGAGTACCGTTGACATACGTTATACGACATACGACATACAGTCTGAGATACGTTACTGAAAGCGTCAGTGCAGCACGAGCCCGCCCGCACCATTTCTTTAATGCGACCCAGGTGGCGGATGTCCGCCCCGCCCCCTCCCTTTCAGTCGAAGGTCATATTTCCGACTGTCGTGTGACGCATCCGCGCTCTGTCGTGCCGGTGGAGTCGGGCGTCGAGTGTAGGCGGTGGGCGGCTGTGTGGTCGGCCAGCCGGCCGCCGCGTCGGCCTGCCGTGCGTGGCCCGTCCGGCCTGAGCTGTCCGCGCCGGGATGGCGGCGCGACAGCCGGCTGGTAGCGGGCGCCGTCGCCAGCCGGCGGCTCCGGCCGGACCAGACGGCACCTGACACGGGGCGCTGTCTCGGACCGGCCGCGGCCGGCCGACCGTGTCAGCGCCGCCGCTGTCCTGGCGGCGTCGGTGTCGGCGGCCCTAGTTGGCCGACGTGGCGCCGGCCAGTTTGGTGAATGGCTTCTGTGAATGGCCACGCGGGACCCGGCGGTCCGTAGTAATGCGCCGTCGCCTGTGCTATTGTGTGCCGCCGCACCCCCGGGGGGGGGGGGGGGGGGACCGCTCGCCGGTTGACACATGCAATTTCAACGCTCACGACTCTCGAGCGGCGCTGTTGCAGTCCGTTCTAAGCGAAAGCCTGCGGTTGGCAGCGATTGATTCGGTTACAGACTGCCCGCATGATGAGGGCCGCACGTGTTCCGCATTCCTCGAGATGTTCCACGTTCCCAGACGGCTGGAATCTGAATGGGTTGTGTGCTAACGCCGTCGCGCGGTTCGTTGCAGTACTTCTGCCAGAACGAGCCGCTAAGCGCGGGTCAACAGCGGCGCGAAGGCTGGGGCTCGGCTGAAGCCACCGAGATGGTGCTCAACAACCTGCTGTACATCACGGCCAAGGTGAGACGACCGCCTCCTTCAGCCATTATGTGCCACAGGCTCCTGGTAATGACTCGGCCTGCAGGCTGATCGCGGGCTTCTGCAGACGAATCGTGGAGGGTACTGTGTGTGGGCGGGCTGAAGATGGCAGGGTAGCTCCACCACCTGCCGCGGCGCACGATGTACACACGATGTTATGGTGAAGTGCGAAAGATATGGCAGAGAGCACTAAGTTCGGAGTCGAATCCGAGAGACACAATCGCTCCCAACGTGCGCGCAAACAAGACCACAGAGTAACGTTACCACCTGTCGCGGCGCACGATGTACACACGACTTTGTGGTGCCATGGTGACACTAATGCAATGTTCGAATCGAGTCTTGTGCGAGGTGCGTCGAGCGATATTGATTCTGCGAGCAAAAATTGACGCATCTAGAGCAGAACTGTAACTTTTCGGAGGTGGAATGGTGATTGTGACTGAAACCGGTAAAGCTAGGGTAATCCGACAATTAGCTGTCATTTAGCATTGTTGCTGGGTTCGATCATTAAGTTACGACGTGATGCGCTGTTTTTTGGAATTGTATTTCCCTACTGGCCTGCTGAGTATCAATCCATTGAAAGGCAGTTACTCGACAGCACACAACTCAAGACAATTACAGAAATGGAGCAAATGAAACATGGTGACGAATCTCGAGCAGAATGGAACGGACATGAAATGTGAGCTGCTTATGTCTTTGAGCTGCCACTTTTTGTGGTAATGACAACTTCCGTCTCGTGCACTTTATTAAAAACCCGCCTATCTTCGCGTGGAAGTTTTGTATTGCAGCCTTAAGACTCATGGTTCTCGCCTCAAGCATGCGCCATTTTATCCCAAGCTTACATAGCATCGCACTCTGCGTTTCCTCTGCGTCTGAGCGTCGCAAAGGTCAGGCAGGTAACTATAGCAGATGCGCAGCAAGCTAATTAGGAGCGATGCGGCAGGCCGGGCGAGCTGCGCTTGACCTGGAATACAATTTTCAACTTGAGCGGCCTCGCCGGACCGGGGCGCTTTCTTGGAGCGAATATGCTTGCAGCCAGTGACTGCAGGCTCATGCAGTTTTCAAAAACGTGGAGCGAAATTTTGTTAAAGTTGTGCTGCATAAGTTGCTAGGCATTGATGTGTAAGCTGTTTGATGGGGCGGGCTATTCCTGCAGCACTGCAAGATCACCAGGAGTCTACCTTCTCATTTTAAGTATCTTGGGAAAAGTAACATTGCTATTTACGAAAAATCTGAACAACAAAGGTCGAATCATGTCCACATGTTGGTAACCCAGTGTCACAGCGAAACAAAATGTTCAATCTCTAGCGACGGGAAAAACGGCCAGTTCTATTCGCAAAAATGCGGGTCGTAGAGTGCAGACCATCACGCTGTGTCGCGTGCAAATCAAACTAACCAGGCAGATATACCGACTCCAGGTCCCTGGCGCACCTCAGCACTGTCTGGCCTACGGCTGTGCAAGTAACCGACCAGATAGCGACCATTGTCACCTCTTTCTAAACTGATCTCACATCCAAGATGTTGTGGCCTACATGAAGAGATATTGAGCCATCAAAATGTCACTGGTGCCAAGCTCTGTAATCATTTTTTATCACATATTTTTTATTTGATGTTCCATCATTTTTCGTTTTCAGTACTCTGGTGACAAATACCTAGATCGGAAAACACTTCAAGTTCCTTGCTTTGATCGACTAAAATTACCAACGCCCGATAACTGGATGTCTGCCTGCTAACTTTTTACGAACGGTAGTCTTGGCAACCCATTGCTCCAAACCGATTGGGTATTGGTTGCCAAGGATGTTCGTCCTCATCGTATCATTTTTGACATCATCTGTATATTAACAACTGACATCTTTCACATGCCTTATGCTCCTCTCGTCCCCCCGCTGCAGGCGTCGCACTGATTGTAAATATGACTGTCATTAGTCGAAGATGCTCGTAAAATTGGCTTGAGATAGAAACATGCCTACCTCAAATCTGGTAGTCAAGAACAACATAAGAAACAACGGCGTGTCATACCATAAGCCGACAGCGAATGTGCTTCAACTGCAAGCGTTAAATTACAGTGGCATTAGTTGGCTCATGTATATTCAGTCCAAGTTATGAGATGCCGGTGAACATTCCGCGGCGGGCGAACCGTTCAGACGGCGGCAAAATGCCAAGCAAATCGCGCAGCTCGCAGATAGCATGAACTTTATTACATGGTAAGACTGAAACCAATGAATCTTTGTTAGAACCCGCGTTTCACGAATTTTTACTGGAAAACGACCATATGCGAAGGACACCAAATATCGCCGCAAAGAGCTTTTGATGTCGTGCGCTGTCGAATATGAACCAAGAATATCAGGTTTTGATGCGTGATGGAAATCAGTTGGTCGTAAGATGTCCGTTATTGACCGGTGCGACGCACTCGTGTAAACACACAGTCGTAATGTAGTCCACGCCAAGGTTTGATGCTCACGACAAGGTCAGCCCTCATGGCACTGATTTGTATTTGCCGTTGTTGTTTTTAAAAAAAAACACTGCAACTTCATCGATGTTGTTGACCCGCAACCAGGCCTGGTCAGACCGACAGTCGTTCCGATGTAGACGGTGCGATTTGTGAACGAGCGCCAGAACGGTACATAGTCCGTTACACGCGTCTGCCAGAGTGTCATGAAAGACGGGCTTCCAGTAAATTGGTTCGGCCCATTTGTATACATTCCCGGAGGCGTGTGACCTCCATAACTATCCTTCATCTCAAATCATCATCATCGTCGTCATCGAATGAATGTGCCGGGTTTTGCGGTTTTGACCGAAGCCGAGATGGACTTGGATGTTTGCTGGAATGTTGTTAAAAGGTACGCACTCATGGTAGGTTTCTTAAGCAAACTGATCCCTAAATATTAAGAGCGTGTTTGGTGCAGCAGTGTTTCATGTAAGGCAAGCATGTACTTGGGATGATTCTATATGGAAATTAGTGGCGCATGCACACCGTGCCGCTCCTCCGGCTGTGCCTCAACAATCGTCGTCGGGGAACTGATCACTGTGGTCAGTGCCCTTCTCGCCGACGCCACCGAGCCGCGGAGGACGTCCGGCTAACGCTGAGCTTCCGGTGAAAGAGGCAGCCGGCGCCGAGCCTCGACTTGACAGCGGCGCCCCACCCGCAGATCGGGGATGATCACCCGAAGAGATGGAGGACCTCTGGGCGGCGCTCTGCTCGTGCTGGCCCAACAACCTCAAGATCATCCTGCGAGCCTTTCATTGTGGGTGGGAAGTGGCAGCCCACCCAACTGCTGCTGCCTTACGTGAGCCCGCCGGCTCCAGACCCGCCGCTGCAGACCGTCCGAATCTGGGCAGCTCCCCGAGCTAGCAGGCGCACCATGCGTTGGTGCCGTGAGGGCGCCGTTGTGCCGCCCGCCCGACCGCCCCCACCAGTCTCGGTGTCGGGCATCCCATGTCCTCCTGACGCCGGGTCGATGCCCGTATTGAACGCTCACACGCAACGTTGCCGGTCTCACCTCTGGTAGTTACCGTGCGCGACTGGCGTGCTTGGCGGTGACGCGTACCCAAGTCCGCCCCCCCCCCCCTCCCCTGCCCGGCCCGCCGTGACTCGATGCTGTCCCGCACTGTCGCCAGGGTCAGCGGGTGGCCGTGTACATGGCGCGCGCTCGGCCCGACCAGCTGGTGGAGGAGCTGATGGCCGAGCTGCAGACGGTCGAGTCGATGAACTGCACCATCGAGCGCACCGAGACGCCGCCCTTCTTCCGGCTCACATCGCTACGCAAGACTTCCAACCACTCGGGTACGTTAACCACCGCCGGCTAGGCACGCGCGTAAAGGCATGGGCAGCCACTCGGGTACGTCAACCACCGCGGCTAGGCACACGCGTACGGTCATGGGCAGCCACTCGGGTACGTCACCACCGCCGGCTAGCCACGAGCGTACAGGCATGGCCAGCCGCTCTGATACTTGCAAATACTGCCAGCCACTCTGGTACGTGCAACCACTGTCAGCCAGCCGGATGCACACAGACATGGCCAGCCACTGGGGTGCTTGCAACCACTGCCAGCCCACACGGGTGCCCACAACTGTGGCCAACCACTAGAGTACGTTCAACTACGATGGTTGACAGAATGTGCAATGTATTACCAGCTCGAGTGTATACAGCCGAGGCCAAACAGCTGGGTACGCACGCACAGCCACCAACAGCCCCGGGGAGCGTACAACTTTGGAAGCGATTGGCAATCGCTCTG